ACAGATTAGATTATTCTCGTAAATAATGATAGATTATAAACAATAAGTAACAATAAGTAACAAAATCAAACACATAACAATACAAAACATTGGCAATCGTATCCTAACCAACACAAACATGGAAAGCGCGGTAAAATAATTGCTAACGAAACAATAGCATTTTTTAATATCTTTTTCAAAGGGGCAGAAAACGAATCTTCTTGAAATTTAAATAATGAGCATTTCGACATTATATATACGTAAATGATACGATTGGCGGAGCAAACTCATAAATTCCCACACTTACAAATACCAATGGGTCGTCGATCGAGTTGCCCAATTCAGTGCTCGGTTCCGTCTTACATTCAATCTGGAATTCGGCGACATTTAGAGGCGGTATCAATATTGTTGTTTCATCCGTGTTCCCGGGAATGGTTATGGTGTCGTCAGCCATCCTAGGACAGGATACGAACGATGCGATCTGCGGGAAAACAGATCGTACTTGAATCCCTTCCGAAATGGGAATGTTGGCAGTGTTGTTGTTCGCGAACTGTTGCTGATCACTGGCTGAGCGATTCTCGACAATCTCGGCGTCTTTCTTAGATTCTATCGCTACCGCATCACTGCATGCCTCTTTCTCGGCGCCATTCCACATGATCCACTACGACGATAGTCCCTCTCTTTTTGATGCGCTATGACCTTTTACTGTCGACTCCTTTCCTCGTATACACGTTTTCTCAGTTCTCCTATCCTTATTCGACAGAAGGGACGCGTTTGTGTTGAACCTTTTCAACCCGACCCAGCCAGTTCGACCACTATCGAAACTGATTCGGACTGATCCCAGTGCTGGATAGGTGGCACTAGTCCGATGGGTACTGATGGGCACCAATTGGGACTGTTTACTTCGGTGTACTTTTGTTCGTGTTATGCCTACACAATATTAATTATAAAATCAAACTTTAGAGAGTAGATACAAGCGAGAGGTGTAACTAATAAGTATAACTAAAATAAACGAATTTAGCGATACGTATTAACAATATTAATAAAAACAATCGTTACTTGGCGTGTTCCATCAGTAACCATCAGTTATAAAGACTAATCTCAAACAAACGAATTGATATTCTCTGAAAATCCGATCATATCACGATATCAGTGGGTATTGCACCACATTGCGTAATATTACGTAATAAACAAAACTATATACAGACTTAGGGATCTCTAATGTATATCAAGCATTGATCAACATGCAGCACTTGATGTATGAACGAATTCTAATTCTAGCATACATCAGAGCAGGCATGATTGCATGCATACTTATCATTCAAGAAATCGAGCATCGTCTGATTCTATCTTTAATCGGGAACAGTAGAAGGGAAAATTTCTCCTAAAAACACGACGCAATCTTGCGTCTCGATCGAAACACGCATTATACCCAATTCCCAAAAGTCAAGTATTAAATTGGTATATAAACTTTGCAAGGTGCAAGTTCAATGGAAATTTCCGAAGAAATTTCTATTAGGAACGATCAGAATGAAAGTCGTTTGTTATTAAAATTAGAATTGTACGATTCAAAGTATTTAACGTACGAATTAAATCCTCATCAATTTCTAAATATCGATCTGATATCTCTCGTAAAAAAGAGATATCGCGATGAAAGGTCAATGAGGGTCAACAAAAATATGATCCGATCTCATAAAGTTCTTTATTTGTTCATATAATTAGAATATCCCAGTACTAAGGTATCCTAGTACTTACTAAGGTTTCCAAGAGCAGCTAAGAACTCAATCCGACTGGTGTTATTAAAGGAATGTTCCTTGATCAAATATTATTGACTTTCCATTTAATTTATTTAACATAATAAATCAAAATTTGTTTATCAATTTACTTTAACGTTCAAATTAGATTAATCCGTTAAATTATACATATAAATTCTTACAATCAATTATAGGATTACTTTGAAAAATTAGTGAAAATATCAAAATACAATATACTATTTCCGATTGTTCGCTGTTGTACTATATATATATATATATATATATATATACTTCGATATTATTGGAACAAAACTAAGGATATTGATCGAACTGAGGACTCGTGAACACAGACCTTATATATCTTCTAAATCTGGGCAAACTATGTGAATTTTAATGTTCTCAAATTTTCCACGATATATTGTTTTGCGTTTCGTAATTGATAAACGTTCAACAATACATTTTGCTATACTTTGCAAAAAAAAATATTTTATTAAAAAATTGTTTATCAAATATAATTAAGTAATAGGTTTTTGCGGTTACCGTTCCGTCACTGCGTACTATTACGCGATTGGACGGTGTAGACTTGAGAATAGTCGAGTGAATAGTTGAGAGAATTCTGGACGAGTCCAAGTTCGGAGATAAGGCAATTCTCGTCGAATTTTACGTCCCATCTCGATTTCGGTTACGTACACGCCTATACCTAGCTTCGCCCAACGGGAAGATTCCCGTACAATACGATCTATGTATTGAAAATCCGTTATACGTGACATAACCCAACGCACACATGTCTACGATATCGTCGTCTCTGTACGAAACTTGGGACTCCTAAATTACGTATAATATAGGCATATAATTTACAGTCTATTGCGCGACTCAATATCGTGGCGATGAGATATTCATCGTTATCGATGATTATTGTTAGAAACGTTCATTTACCTAAGATTTCGAGCAGACACGGTCGATTTCGTACGCTCGTCGTACAACGTAGTCCGACTTCGTCAACAGATCCAGGGCAGACTGTCGTGTAACCTCGGCGTCCGTTCTCTTTACGGTAGACTCATGCGCACAGTAAGAATTGTTGAAGCACAAAAATAATACGTGCGATCAAGTATCAAACGTTCGTAGGACCAAACTTAAGGGATATAGGATCGAAAGATGACGGGAGAGACGTGAACATGTAACCCAATACTGGACGAGTCCATTTTTATCTATGCACGTGACAGGCCAAGTCTCGCTTTATTTCGGCTATGATTAATTTTATGAAGGTTCACTCATAACTATGTCATAACTACAAGTCCTATTAGGGCTGAATATCTGAGAACTCGGAAAGTTGGGCGATGGTCTAACAGATATTCATTCTGTTGCGAAAATCCCTTTTTTTGATCGATACATATATACCACGATTGGGAAAACTGTGTTCTCACATGTCTTTACTTTGTGTGCCTTCCAACAAGTGACACAAATGATACAATGGATCATTACATTCTTGTTGTTTGCCAATGTTAAACAAAAATGACATGATCACTGTGTCGCATCGTGTCACTTATTAGAAGACACACCTTATCTACACGGCACTCGGTACCAAATATTACGTCAGCAAAATTTATAATAATATGGACAATAATAGTTTCCACTGTCATATTCGTTTACAGTCGATCGCGAAAATCTAATAATTCATTCTAGACCACTGGAAAGCACTCGCGATTCCCATTAAATCTTGTATCGACTGATGTTCTACTAAACATGTTCTCACTTAACAAGGGAATGCATTTTTTTTTATCGGGGTGAAAGATTCATGTTGGATGGATCTTGGATGTAGGTAGACCGTTTACAAAAGTTTTTCTAAATTGACCTAAATCTGAAGTTACTGCAATGCAATTATTGTAAAAAAAAAGTACATATAATACGTTCTCATTTTGCGAAGTGTTAACTGTAGGACCCAAAATTATCCTTATTAGAACCCCAAGCATCATTTGTCCTGATGACAAAAATTTAAAGAAAACGAACAGTCAAACGAAATCAGGCCTTTCTAATAATTCTGACATTAGAAGCGCGGACAAGTAGAAGTAATAGTAGAAAACCATATAAATCATGAATTAACAGTCTGCAAATGGGTAATCAATTGATAGCCCGTTTTAGGCCGGCTAGTCAGCCCAGCCCACATGGGTAATCACGGATAAACGTATGTAATTTGCATTCATACGTAACACAGCACAATAGCGTGATGTCGTAGGTTCGCGGAATAAGTGACTAGCCATCTTGCTGTGCATGACGAGATTCGGATTCTCTTATTGCAAGTTATGTATGTATTGTACAAAATGACGATGATATTAACCGATTGAGAGATGAGATCGGAACAGATCGGAACGAGTGCAACAAGGCCGATGCTGTTTTCGTTAGCGCATGCAGGCTTAGCTTGATTTTTCGATAAAATTGTGGCACTAACGAGATCGTCATGCTATGCGCTTCCGCCGAAGGATATATAAAACGGCACGCGCTTCTATACCCGCACGCAGAGTGGTGTTGTTTGTCCGATTGCAAAAATGCGACCACTTTCGGGTATCTTACTGCTGCTCCTTACCTGCCAACTCGCTACGCCGACACCGATTTTCGATAGAGGTGGTGTATATTGTAGTTATTTATAAGTGCTAAATTAATTACATCCTGTAGTGTAGAGACTAATGAAGTGCAGGATTGAAGTAATCGATATTACAGTTGAATTAAACACATATTTCAAGTTGAGTTTCATTCCTCAAGTTCTTGAAACGAATAGTTGTTCCGTTTCGAGAGAGAGAGAGAGAGAGAGAGAGAGAGAGAGAGAGAGAGAAAGAGAGAAAGAATATAGTGTCACGGTTTCCAGTGCGAAAAGAAATGGAAATGTTAGTGTGTCTTCCAGCAAGTGGTGTTACATTGTATCGTCTGTGCTTGCTGGAAAGCACACTTAGTATCCAAATTGTTTTATAATTTAAATGAAATTTAATTCAATATCTTTAAGCAAAGATAATCTTTAAGCAATATCTTTAAGCATAGATCTATGATATAACATCAGGTCAAAGATAGATCTATGATATAACAATAAGTATATCTGTGATTAAATGTTCAGATTTCTGATTTACGCCAAATTTTACAAAATTATATAAACAAGAATTTTACAAAATTATTAAACAAGAATTTAACAAGATTGTAGTCAAACTGTACTACTCAATTGTTGTGATGCTTAGTGACCAATCTTGCTAAATCCTATAAATTTGCAAACGTTTGTCATAGATGGAACAGGTCGATCAACTGGATTTGGAGAAACAATACGAGATTGGTTTAAAATGATCAAGGACCGAATTGTGGGAAAATGGCGGGAATGGTTTGGCAAAGATAGTCCAACTCCGAACTTATCACCGCAGGATATTTTAAACATTGATAAGACGTTAGAGAGTCGAATATCGAGTTATCCAGGCTTGTTCTTAGATTTGTGTAAGCAAAGTTCAATAACATGAAACTTAAGTCTCAGTATCGTAGAATTTTTCTTCAATTCTTTGTCACGTAGCAAAACTGAAACTCGCGTTGGATGTCAAATCACAATGTGTTTATGCTTCGCTACGGAACATAATTGAGCGATTTCGACGTTTTACGTGATGCGTCACTCGCGAATGTTGAATGAGAGATACAATTAGGATTACAGCGTATAATACCACATATATTTTTCAAAAGTTTCCACGAGATTGCATCCTTCTAAACAACTTCTAGACGACCCAAATTTAACTTTCGTATTTTGTCAATTTTTTCGTACTAATAGCTAGCCTATCGTTCGACCCAAAACGAGATTGGGGCGTCCGGATTGGTAACTGGTACATCATCCGGAAAATTGCAGGCAATGACTACGGGGACAGTGATTCGGATGAGTGGGACGTGCCAAATCTGCCTCCTATATTTGGGACCGACTGGACACCTGACTTCAATAAACTTCCAACAGAAATTCCGAAAACTACGCGACCTCCAACGACTACACCAAAGATTGAATTGACTACACCGAGACAACAGACAACCCAAACTATTACGCAATCAGATTTAATTTTTACAGAATCAACTGTAACACCCACCGAGGCTATCGCGACTTCTACCGAATCGATTCCACTTCCTACCCAATTAATTACAACTTCCATAGAGCCGAATATAGAAATTGATTCATCAAGTGAAGAAATGATAACTTCCAGTGAAACTGTTGTAATGAATAGTGTACCAGTTGCAGCACCTACTGATTCTACATTAACATCTACCGAATCAACTGTTTCGTCAGTTGATACTACCATGTTTTCCGTCACATCGACATCATCCACTGATCTAACTTCTATGTTCAAATCAATCGAGACATCTATCGAATCTGCAGTTTCTAATGAAACAGATAATACGTCTTCTGAGGAATTAACTACTACTACTACTAATGACTCACCTGAAATGTCCACCGAACAAATTTTACCTTTCTTTAATAAGCGAGTAGAAGATAATGAAACTGTTAATAAACATACCACGAAGAAACCTCGTCCAGCATCTGCCGAAGTTATAACATTTTAAACAGATTTATATCATAAAAAAACTCAGGTGTATATCTTCAATGGTTTTTAATAAAGTTTTAAGTATGTAAGTTGTAAATACATATTGATTAACTATAAAAATATTAATATACTGAAAATTGAAAAGTCAAAAAAATAATAGCGCATTAATTCAATATAATAAATTTTTTAACAAGGCATTGTTACGAGATGTCAAGAAAAATGTGATAAACAGGTTTTCATCAAGAAGAATACACGTTTATTCCGTAAAATGTATTATAATTTCGGCGCTATTCCATAGTAAAATATAATAACTTTTACGTCGATGATTGTGTGGTCTTCAAGATGGCTTCTTTTACTGTAATAAAAAAAAATGTGTATGTATTAAAAAATAATATATCTTTTTTTTTTATTTAAAATCAACTTTTTAACATGCACATAACCAATTTTAATACAAATAGTTATAGCAATAAAATAGCACACATACATTTACATATCTGTAATTAATATATAAAGCATGTTTTCCCTCAAGTGTATTAGTTAAATATAAAAAATATATGCACAAAAAATTCAATATAATTCAACATTTAACTATATTCAATTTTCACACAAAATTGTTTAAACCTTAGTAATTTTCGTGCATACTAATTTTATATTAATATAAAATGCAAATGTAACACAGAATAAAATTTAAAATAAAATAAAATTGTTACTTTGTTAATATATTTGTGATTCATTGAAATTAATTTTTGAACAAGGGAAAATTAATTATAAACTCACAAGTTTAATTTCTTTTTTTTTTTTTTTGAAAGATGTAGTCTAATTTAGTAATAACTACTTTTAAAACAATTTGATTACTATAGTAAAAGTTTAATTTTAATTATAATTACAGTGATACAGACAATGTTAGTAAGTTTAGAATTAAATTATTACATAGCAAAATGCAAATATAAATAATTAAGACTTATACCTAATTATACAGTTTCTAAATCTACACTCTACATCATCAAAGATGCTTATTGTATGATATGAAAATATAATAATGTAAGATTACTGTATTTTCATATCATGAAAATAAAATATTACATTTTTATACTATATATTAACAAACTACTGGAATACATGATTAGTAAAATAATAAATAAATCATAAAAATATAGCTTGTATTTATGCTGTTAAGAATAAAAAAAAATATTAGCATGCTCATACAACAAAGAACAAAAGTGAAACTTAAAAGATTTGCATGCTGACCCTGATTAAGCAATAAGAAATTGCTCCTCCAGAAGTCTGTAGTACAAATGATGATCATTTCTCTATTTCCTTCCCTAGAATGTGAATAAGAAGCGTATACCTCCGTAGCATGCATAGACATCAAACCAAAGGAAAATTTATTTCTGAATTGTCCATGAACATTATGTTATCAATAAAAAAAAATATTTAATACTTTTCATTTTTATCATCATTCTCTCATAGGTAAAACATATCACACAACTACTGTATTGAATCAAACTTTTTAACAAATATATGAACATTTATTTATGTATTTAAAGTTATCTATTTAATAATATTAGGAATTTAAATTACTATGTAAGAACTTTCAATATATACAAACTGATTTTATTAAATAGAATAGTGCATTAATATAATCAATTAACTGAATAAAAACAAAGAAAAAATTACAACATCAGATAGAACATACAATTTAAAGACAATTACAATTTTGATATAAGAGATTTAAGCTAAAGCTCATGTGATTAAAAAAAGAAAGAAACATGCATAAGATATTTGATGCCGAAAAGCATTAAGAGATAGAATAAAGAAATTTTTTGCAATGTTATAACATTAATGTTCGAGTAATGGAACAAGAAATGTTTATGAAAGAAATATATTCGAAATATATTATCTTGCCTACCTTTTTAGACGCTGCTCCAACTTTACTCTTTTTAGTACCCCTAACTTTCTTCATTCTGTTCTTGCGTTCTTTACGCTGTTTTCTCGTTTGTTTTTGTTTCTCAAAGAGACCATGCCTTGCTAACCTATATTTAGGTTCAAATTTCTTTGCAAAATCCAAGGTGTCATAGATAAGTGCAAATCCAGTAGATTTACCACCACCAAAGTTGGTTTGGAAGCCAAACACAAAGACAACATCTGGAGTCACTTTATACATCTTGGCTAATTTCTCTCGAATCTCGGTTTTACGAACTGATGGTTGGCCAGGATGAATAACATCTACGACCTATAATCAAAATAAATTATATAAATTCTCATCTGGGATAATGAATTGAAATAATGGATACTCGAGTCTCACCATTTGTTTTCGGCATAAAAGCCGATTGGTCATGAACTTTCTCGTCCTGATGGTGGCTGTACCTTCCGTCTATAAGCAAAAATCAAAATAGTTTCTTTATTTATAGGTTAGATTAGATTACTTATTAGACATCTTCAGAGTATCAAAATAGAATGACGAATACTATAAATTGGTAAAGGATAAAAAAAACTTCAATTAATTTTACGATCTATTATCTCATAAAACATCACAAATGATCACACAAATAATTACAAACATGTATTGAGGTTATGTCATGTCGTGTTTGATTAATTTTACTACATCTGTAATTGATACTTTCTGAACATGATATACACAACATGTACTTTGTTAGACGTCATTGTTAAATATTTAATTGAACGTTGTACGTTTCGTTGGATGATTATTACAGAATTTTTCGATACAAGTTACATACCATTTTGATCGGTTATCGTTGTTTAGCGTACCGCTTGGAAAAAGGGACGTTCGGAAACATGCACCGCCATCTACGAAAGACACGGCAGCATCGGTATCCGGATATCCACGTGTATTTTATGTTAGAAAATACTGTATTGTTTATATTTGCGATCGGCATTATCGATTAAAAATAATTGAAAATCCTCTATTTAATTTTCAAGTTTGACGTTACCACGTTCAAGCAGTTAAAAATATTAAATCGTATTAGAGTTTGGCACCCGAGTTAAAATTTGTAAGTAAATTCTCTTAATAACTTTGAAAAATCTTAACTTCACTTAAAAGTAAATTGTTCCAAGGACAAATTCTGTACTTTGAATTAGTACAGCGAGAATAATAAAAAAAGGCTCTAGAAAAAAAAGTAAAGACAAAAGCATAGAAGTCTGTGGTGTGAAATTTGTAACAAACAAAACAGAAGAAAACACGAGATATTTTTTTATATCTACAAATAATTTTTTTAAAGAGAAAGTATTATATCGATCGAAAAAAAAACTGCATGATCGACGCGCGAGTTTGTGAGGGAACTGGGAACTTTCGAAAGAGACCGACGCTGTGCGCGTAGCGCTTCCGCCAACGTCGGCAGCTGATTGGCGCTCAGCCGTCGGCTCGACGACCGACGTTGACCATTGCCGTTCCCTAGGAAGTTTCGAGAACATACACTGCAAGCGGCAATATCGGTAGGCGACGTGGGCGCACGGACTACGGAGTCGCACGGAATCCGGGCTCAGTGCTCAGTTTCATACGTGAAACGTTGTGACGCGGACGCGAAGGTAGAACGGGTGTCGCACGAAACGTGCGCGGTCATTCTCTACAGCGACACTCCTTGTCGTTTACGCAGGTAAGTAACTCTCGCGAATCGCGCTACTCTTCGCTCTTGTAGTCTTGTCAGGGGGGACGATCCATTCGCTGTGACCGATCTAACGACGTGGACCGGGAACGAACAACGGACTGAAAGGACGACCCAAGTCGCGCGATCGATCGATCGGTTGGTCGCGATATTCGTCCTCTCTCTCTCTTTCTCCCTGAGAAACGTGTAATCGGGGATTAGCATACTCGCGTAAGGCGTAGACATTTATACAAAATTTTTCGGAATCATTGTCGGGAATTTGAGATTTCGGGATTTCGTCGCGGTTTCTCCTGGCCCAACTCCGCGTAACGGTCACCGAAACCACTGCGAAGGGGTGTGGGGGGCAAGAGCGCCTTGGCTTGGCGGACGGTCGAAGGTTGCGACGATATATTTCGCACGATTGCACATTGATGGACGTTATGAAGCGGCAATTGAACTGATCGCCAGGCAAGTATGTACCTACTGTCTCGTTGCAACAGCGAGCTTGAAAAGAAAGATGGAAGCCAGTAACCTGGCTATCAAGTCTGTGCACGCTTGCCCGACGACTCGTGTCGATTAATGATGCACCAAGGCATCGGCCGCTGCTGAAAAAAGGAGATTGAAATAGGAAAAGAAAAAAAAAAGAAAAAATAGAATCGCTTATCATGAGGAAAACGCGTTTTACGCGTAATACGTGCGTTGAGCATAAAAATTCGTCACGAGCGATCTGATAAACTCTTCGTTACACCGATTTTGTCGTTCGATCAACTTGGGAACCCGCGTGCTCGGTAATATCTATGCGAAAGCGGAAGGCTTTAGAAAGCTCGGAGAGGTGGTCTTTGTTCGGGAAGCATCCACGGCACACGCGCCTCGCCTTTTGAAATAATCCGCTCGCTGATCTATTCAATCGTATACTCCCAGTCCTACTGTAGACGCCATTTTGAAATTCGCATGAATTCCGCGAGTATTTTATATTAATTTATATTCTTTGAATTTTCACGAGCGAGTGCACGACTTCTACCTCTACAAACACATGCAAAAAAATTGCGTGAAAAAATATCTGCATGCGTTGCGAGGCTTGAAATCAGTTGTGGTAAAAATGAAAAAAAGGAGGAAGAAACAAGTGTTTGTACAATTGGGCATTTATGCTTCAACAAGACTTTCCTGTTTTCAGTTTTGCCATTTTCACTGTTAACTACAAGTCAACTTGAAACTCGAGATCATTAAGCCGAAAGTTCTCTCACTTGGGTTACTAGTGCTAAATGCTCTTTTGTTATTCATATCTTATATAACTTGAACTTATTTATTAATTTACATATTCATAAAAAACGATTCAAAGTTACATATATTTATTGTCTGATCAAATTTGACCATATTTAAATTTATGAGTCAATTATGTAACACTAGAAAAACGATACATTCCTCATTTAAAATTATGAATTAATTATGAGTTAAACTTGTCTATCTTTTTGATTTTGCAATGCGCATGTTATGTCACGAACTGTTTAGTTTATCAATATAATGAATTTGTGTTTCCTTGTATTCTCTGATGTCGTTTTATCGGCAGTAACATTTTGACTCGATGTTTCTTCAATTTTCTGATGTTATTTTATCAGCAGAGTAAATGTGCTCTCCATTTAAAAAAGAAAAATATGTATATTCAAAGTTTGGTGTCAAACAAGATATAAAAAATTTTAGTACAGTCCAGTGCAATAACAAAGCCCAGACCTATGTATTTAATAGCGATATAAAAAATTAAAGCATTTGTATAGTTTATATTTTTTCTTGTTTACAGCAGCAAGAGTGGTTTAATACACTAACTACCTAACTGTGAAAATGGTTAAGGAGACTACATTTTATGATGTATTGGGTGTGAAGCCCGGATGCTCGCAGGAAGATTTGAAGAAGGCCTATAGAAAGCTCGCTTTAAAGTATCATCCTGATAAAAATCCTAATGAAGGAGAAAAGGTTTGTACGAATCTTTAAAATATTACTATTGATTAGTTTATATGTAATAAAACCTAATAAAATTTAATATTATAAAATATACATTTTAGTTTAAACAAATTTCTCAAGCGTACGAAGTATTGTCAAATCCGGAGAAGAAGCGTATCTATGATCAAGGTGGTGAGCAGGCTTTGAAAGAAGGTGGCATGGGTGGTAGTGGCTTCTCTTCTCCTATGGATATTTTCGATATGTTCTTTGGAGGAGGATTTGGCGGTCGAGGAGCGAGGAGGAGAGAACGCAGAGGTCAAGATGTAATGCATCAATTATCAGTTTCTCTCGAGGAACTTTACAAAGGAACTGTGCGTAAACTGGCTCTGCAAAAGAATGTTATTTGTGAGAAATGTGAAGGTAACGGTTGTATGGAGATTGTAATTTGAAAAAGATCTATATCAGTGTAGACACGGAGAATATGATATATCTGTCGTTTTTCGATTAGGTGTCGGTGGAAAGAAAGGTTCTGTTGAGCAATGTTCTACATGTCATGGTTCCGGTTTGCAAGTACAAATCCAGCAGTTAGGTCCGGGAATGTTGCAACATTTACAAACTATGTGTGCAGATTGCAAAGGACAAGGGGAACGTATTAATCCCCGTGATCGTTGCAAATATTGCAATGGAAGAAAGACTATTAGAGATAGAAAGATACTTGAGGTTCATGTTGATCCAGGAATGGTTGATGGTCAAAAGATAACTTTCAGTGGCGAAGGTGATCAGGAACCAGACTTGGAGCCTGGCGATATAGTTATTCTTCTCGAAGAAAAAGATCATGATGTATTCAAGTTGGTAGTATTTTAATAGAGTATTTATTAGGGAGCTAGTCATTTAATTGTTACTAATACGCTGCGATCAATTAAATTATAGGCGTTCAAGAAATGATCTGATTATGCGGATGCAACTAGAACTCGTAGAGGCATTATGTGGATTCCAGAAAGTTATTCGTACTTTGGATGGTAGAGATCTAGTGATAACTTCACTTCCCGGCACTGTGACGAAACACGGTGACTTGAAATGCATCTTGAACGAGGGCATGCCGATTTATAAAGATCCATTTACACATGGCAGACTTATAATACAATTTATAGTCAATTTCCCGAAGAGCATAGACCCATCGCTTATTCCATCATTGGAACAATGTCTGCCGCCGAGGGAAGAGGTTATAATTCCAGACGGTGCCGAGGAGTGTTTACTTACCGACTTGGATCCTGAGCAGGAGCAAAGGCGGAGAGACACGAGACAAGCGTATGAAGAGGACGAAGGAGGTCCATCGCGAGTCCAATGTGCCACACATTAATTTGATTACACTAACCCTGTAATAAACATAGCCGTTTCTTTCATTTCAAACTCTGTCCCATTCGCTCGATTCTGTATCATGCTAAAGAAAGAAACAACATGGATATGTAGGCCAACTATTCAATGAGCGAGAAAGATATAATTCTACTGTTTGGACGTGTGCAAAAAAAAACAGTGAGTACTGCAATTACTGATTCTTTAATTTTATCAGTTACATGAAAATTATACAATTTTGAAAGTAAACAATTAGCGACAATCTCGTTATGAAAAGGTCTCGTTATGAAATGTGATGAAGCATCTTACTAAGATGCATCTTATTGAGATATCTTTTATGGAGCAGGCTTCTCGTAGAAACTTTTAAGCTACTTTTTAGGATATTCTGATATTTTCTTAAGATAAAATCGTATATAGAGATGAATAGAAAAATTGTGGATACAGGATAAATGCGAATGATACTATTGCAGTATAAATAGCGATACAAACTATAGAGATCAAAGCCTTAAACGATTTAGCTGGATCTTAAATACTTGTATGATTCTTGTGTAAATTTATATACTACGTATATAGTCCCTAGAAACGCGAAACACCGAAATGATTTTTCAGTCTTGAAAACGCTAACTCTACTAAATTACACGCAGTAATATCACGAATTAAATTGACTAGCAATTTAACAAATATTTTATGCTTATTCGCATCTGCGATAATTTAGAGTTAGCGTTTTCAAAACCGAAAAATTATTTCGGCGTTTCGCGTTTCTAGGGATTACAAATAGTAGTATATAAATTCACACAAGAATCATACAAGCATTTAAGATCCAACTAGATCGTTTAAGGCTTTGATTTCTATCATTTATGTTATCACATATACAGTCCATAATATGTTATAAATAGTAACAGTTCCTTATTTGCATTCGGTAATTATCTGATAATTTGGTGCTTTCCAGCAAGCGACATAGTCTGATTAAAATCTCATTTTTAATATATCTGAAACGGTAACGTTATATTATTTAAAGAATAAATTAATCAATTCTTTAAAGAATTAATTGCATTTTCTTGCGTCCTTTGTTAATATCGTTTATCGTTTATCGGTATCTGTGAATCGACATCGTTCGTTCACTTCTCAATAAGATGATTCATTAAAATTTTACTCATTTCTTTTTCGCTTATTGTAAACATTCGTCTACGTACTCATGTTATTTCTTTCAATAGAGGATTACTAAAAGTATGTACTTATCATTACACAATGATAAGAAAATTTAAATTTATTTAGATGTAACGTAAGGGTTCCATACTGTCGTTACAATATAATGAAAGGTATCATACAAGGTGCGTCCCAAAATTTTCCCAACTTTTGAAATAAAACAACAACGGTTTACTTTTTTTTTCAAATTCAAATTGTTTATTCAAAGTAGTCCCCGTCGGACTCAATACAACGTTTGGCACGATCTAAAAGCATTTCAAATGAGTGTTTTATGTCGTTCAAAGGCACGTCCTTCAGAATAGTGGTACAAGCCCTTTGGATGTCTTCTACGTCCACATATCGCTTTCCTTTCATGGACAAATGCATTTTGCCGAATAGGTAGAAGTCACAAGGTGCCATATCAGGCGAATACGGGGAATGGTTGATTGTTAAAATGTGATTTTTAGTCAAAAAATCAGTGACAAGTGTCGAACGGTGAGATGGCGCATTATCGTGTAACAAGCGCCAACTTCCTCCTTCGCGATATTCTGGCCGAATACGACGAATGCGGTGCACCAAACGCTTCAAAACGCTTACATAGAATACAGCATTAACTGTTTGGCCTGCTGGAACGAATTCTTTGTGCACAATACCCTTGGAATCATAAAAACTTCGATGGAATTTTCGTTAATTGTCGATTTTGGGCGACCTGTATGTGCGTCGTCATTTATGTCCTCACGACCGTTCTTGAATCGCGTATACCACTCATAAACACTGGCACGGGCTACACAATTATCACCATAAACTTGTTTCATCAAATTATGGGTTTCGGTAAATGTTTTACCAAGTTTAAAACAAAACTTAATATTGGCTCTTTGTTCGAAGTTCATTCTCGTACCGATGTATACAACATACTGACACTTGAGACGCCATAACTTCGTTTCCACTGAACCAAATGTCATGAAATTTTTACTGGAAGTCAGCTAGGGATGTACCTTTCAAATGCGCAATCGAACACACGGATGGCGCCACCCGACCTATCCCTATTGAAAAAGTTTGGAAAATTTTGGGACGCACCTTGTATATTCTTGAACATCGCGATTGTACCAATTGTATCACTCCAATAATCAGCTAGCTGCTCGACAGTAACTATTACATGGCTAAAGTTAGATTATATATATATATATAGAGTTCAATTTTGTGGATTATCCATACACGATTACTTCTTTCAGATATTAATAACAGCAAACTTGATTACTCCAAACCTTCAAGTCTGAAAATTGTTATCTTTTACAGTTTTCTAGAATTTGAAATAACAATATCGGGATGTATCAATCAATGTGGAAACGGTATAAACTACTTGGTTAAAGCATTAATGTTATCAATTGTATTAGAGATCTCGAAGAAACTTTTCAAAGTGGGACATTATTCCATATTCGTAGTATTTAATTTTTTCCAGTCGCTTTTGTATACTGGCGTGTGACGATGATAAATGGAAACATAGAATTTTGTTTGCGAACAGTGCAAGTAAAATTGGGAATCAGGTTCCTGTGTGTGTGGACGATTGCGCGTATTTATAAGCAGCTTTGTGCAATTATATTGTGTCGAATCTAACCATTTTTCTTCTTTACATTTGCCAATGCTGAGGATTTTATTATATATTTTAGTAAAATCAATATCACTTTAGTAATTTCCTTACTAGAAAATTTGTGTAAACAAAAAATTATGTTTTCATAATAGATACATTTCTACGAATTTATTCGGTCATTTGCACCATCTTCATCTAAACGCGCATGAACAATGCTCTAGAGATCTAGATAATTCATAGATCCTGTTGTACTATATTAAATTAATATACTTTCAATACATATTCACACATAATTTACTATATACATGGTACTCGTCCGCAGTTACTATAGCGAATTTTAATAAATAGCCACATATGTCTTGTAATCTTATTTATTATAGGAAACAATTGGTGATTGATTAGGTACTTTTTTTGAGCATCTCAAATAAATTTGGAATTGTACAATGGGATTGTCGATTTTACATCCTTGCAAAGTCGGAAACCTGAAACTCCTCACACAATTTAATTACTCGAAACACTTGTTTCATGTAATTTTCCTTCAATTTCTTACTCGTTCGTCGCAACTTAATGCTGTAATAATATATTTAATTTACAAGATAGTTTTTTTAATTTTTATTAAAAAATTAGTTTACATATCGTTTCTTTGATTTTTATTTAAAAAATAGTTTATATATTAAAATTAAATTTTAAATGCCAGGAGATTCTATTATTTCAATTTGCTTCAAGTAATTGTAAAAATTTAATAAATCAAATGATAAGGCATAAAATAAAAAAATGACATGAAATTAAAAGTGATAAATTAAAAATTGATATTTTGTTGCGTTTATTAACTTGCACACGTCGATCATTATTCGATGACTAATCAGAATCTTATGAAGTTGCAATTATTTGCCAATTTGTAATCGATCTACGTGAAGATTCATAAGTAAAGAGATTTACGAAACGTCGATTCATGAATCGCTCGTTATTTCGACTGTGACTGGCGGATTCAATCGTTCCGCATAAAAGAGAGAGTCATCGCGATTCTACTGAAGGAGGAGCGAGGAGGGAAGGGAGAAAAGTCCGCGGGGACGACCGCGAAATTAATACTTGTCCCGTCCGATGGATAGCGACACTGTCGCTCGCGATGCTTCGCGTCGTGCGATGCGGGTCGATGTTTTTAGCGACGTGCTTAGTGACGTGCGAGTGGTTCGAGTGAGAGAGGCAGAGAGGCAACGAGTAAGGCAGTCAGCCAGCCGTCGGGATGCCGCAGAGGTTTCTGGGTATGCGGTGGGAGCCATATTTTTTCAATATCAGTTACGCGAAAAGAGCGTAGCGTACGGGGACGGGGCAGAGCATCTGGCGGGCACGGCATTCCGAACGGCGAACGGCGGTGCCGCGCGACGTTCGTGTCGGCCGGCGGTGAGTGATCGGGCGCGTTAAACGCAGGACGGCGAACGCGATCATACGAGGCGCGTAGTCGTCGCCGCGTCCGCGCCGCTACCATCGCTCTCGTCACGAAAAATAACATCATAACCGCGCGATAGCGGGGAGGTGAGGTGAGGTGTGGTGAGATGCGGTGAGGTGAGGTGAGGTGAGGTGAGGTGAGGTGAGAGGTTCCCGTCACCCGTGAGAAACGGAGTAGCGCGCAGGTGTTTGAGAGGGTTAGTTAACTTAACCCGAGTTCGTAACCGCGTAGTAGTGCTGGTGGTGGTGGTGGCAGTGGTGGTGGTGGTGGTGGTAGTAGTAGTAACATCAAAAGTAGTAGTGGTACGCGAGCTAGTGGGGAAATGATAGTGATGGTGGTGGTGGAAGAGTGCTGGTGGTGGTGGTCATGATACTCGCTGCTGCTGCTGCTGCTGCTGCTGTGACGATGACACAGCGTCATAACACGACGTTCGTCCGTCCGTGCGCGATTTAACCCGAATCGTTACGCCAGCGGCGTAAAAGTGTTTTTTGTACGGCGTGCGCGTTCGCGCCATATTACCGATCGAGCGCCGACTTGAGGCGACTCCAGCCGAGTCCGGCGCGATTAAACCCGCGTCGCGTACGCAGTCAGTGTCGAGGGAGATGGCACGCCGTTCGGCTGTGTTATCATCGTGAGTCCATGAGTCTCGCGCATTCGTTGGGATCGTTGTCGCGTGACCGTGCGAGGGTTCCCCCTCCCACCCTCTCCTCTCCCCTCCTCTCTTCGGCTGTCGCCGAAAGGCGAGATATACCCAAGCAGTGTGCCGTTTTGCGTAATGACATAATTGAGTGCGTGCGCGCGCGCGCATGTTCGCGTCTTTGCGTTCGTTCGTTCAAC